TCTCGCTGCCCTTCGTGCCCCCGTTGCAGCAATTCGTGCCCTCCTCGCTGCCCTTCGTGGACCCGTTGCAGCCCTTCGTGGCCCCCTCGCTTTGTTTCGTGGCCCCGTTGCAGCCCTGCATGGCCCCCTCGCTTTGTTTCGTGGCCCCGTTGCAGCCCTTCGTGGCCCCCTCGCTGCCCTTCATGGCCCCGTTGCAGCCCTTCGTGGCCCCCTCGCTTTGTTTCGTGGCCCCGTTGCAGCCCTTTGTGGCCCCCTCGCTTTGTTTCGTGGCCCCGTTGCACACCTGCGTGGCCCCGTCGTTGCCCACTCGCTGCCCTTCGTGGCCCCGTTGCAGCCCCTCGTGGCCCCCTCGCTTTGTTTCGTGGCCCCGTTGCAGCCCTTTGTGGCCCCCTCGCTGCCCATCGTGGCCCCGTCGCAGCCCTTCGTGGCCCCCTCGCCGTCCTTCGTGGCCCCATAGATGTATGCCTTTCGTGGTCCCCGCTCGTTCGCGCCCGCCGTGGCCCCATATGCATGCCCTTCGTGGCCCTGCTGTCGCCCTTCGTGGCGCCCTCGCTGCCTTCCGTGGCCCTGTTTCTGCGCTCAGTGGCCCCATCCTTGCCCTCCGCGGCCCAATATACGTATGCTCTTCGTGGCCCCCGCTCGTTCGTGCCCGTCGTGGCCCCGTGCGCATGCCCTTCGTGGCCCCGCTGTCGCCCTTCGTGGCCCCCTCGCTGTCCTGCGTGGCCCAGTTGCTACCCTCAGTGGCCCCGTCGTTGCCTTCTGTGGCCCAGCAGTACCTGCCCTTCGTGGCTCGGTCGCGCTCTTCGTGGCCCATACGCATTCCCTTCGTGTCCCCGCTGTCGCCATTCGTGGCCTACTTCGTTCCCGTCGTGGCCCTGCTGTCGTTCTCTCTCCCGCTCTCGCTTTCGCTCGTTGTCGTCGTCGTCGTCGTCGTCGTCGTCGTCGTCGTCGTGGTCGGTCCCTTGTCCGTTCCTCTTGGGGGGGTCGGGTTGCCGCCGATCAGCGCTGCCGCTGGCCAGGCCGACCGTCCGCGGCCGCCCCGCCGCTTGCCGGGGCCCGGCCTGCAGGGAAGACGAAGAGGGCGGGTATCGAGGGTTTGGGAAATACGTGTTGACGGGCACTCGATCAGGTAAAAGCGACAAATCTTAAACTGATTGTTGTTATTGTTGTTGCTGTTGCTGTTGCTGTCGCTGTTGTTGTTGCTGTTGCTGTTGTTGTCGCCGTTGCCGTTGCTGCTGCTGTTGTTGTTGTTGCTGTTGCTGTTGTTGTTGTTGTTGTTGTTGCTGTTGCTGTTGTTGTTGTTGTTGTTGTTGTTGTTGTTGTTGTTGTTGTTGTTGTTGTTGTTGTTGTTGTTGTTGTTGTTGTTGTTGTTGTTGTTGTTGTTGTTGTTGTTGTTGTTGTTGTTGTTGTTGTTGTTGTTGTTGTTGTTGTTGTTGTTGTTGTTGTTGCTGCTGCTGCTGTTGTTGTTGTTGTTGTTGGTGTTGTTGTTGTCGTTGTTGTTGTTGATCCTCCCTCTGGGGCACACCGTATTTTTCCAATTGAAGTGCCCTTCCCAGGGCTCGCACCCTGTGATTTATAAGGGAACGTCTTTGGTCTCAGAATTGAGCTCTTGGCCCCCGAGTACAACAACATCGGCTCCCGCCTGAAACTTCCTCACAATGTATTCCCAAATCGCGCTCTCGCGCGGGACGTCCTGACAATGTATGCAGAAATCGCGCTCTCGCGTGGGACTTCTTCGCAGTGTATTCAGACGCCGCGCCCTCGACATTCAGGAATCACGCTCTCGCCTTGGCCTCTCTCATGAATTACTTGGGGATCGCGCTATCGTTCGGGAGTCGCGCTCCATGCAGGACGCACGCTTCGGCAATCCCGCCTGCTCGACCTGGCCGCCTGGCCCGCCTCCCCGACCCGCCTGTTAGGGTCTACCCGCCCGATCCGCCCGTTTGGCTCTGCCACGTAATTTCTGTTCCTAGCCCCCTCCTGCTACTCTCTCTCTCTCTCTCTCTCTCTCTCGTGCTCCATCCTTCTCCCCTTCCCTTGTCCCTTTTTTCCGTCCGTCCTGTCTTCCCCTGCCGTATGGGGCTGCATGCAGTACATGTTGCAGGTAAGACTGATAAACCCCCACGGGGGTACGATCGAAGTCGGAGAGGGCGGGTATCGAGGGTTTGGGATTTACGTGTTGGGTGGCACGCGAGCAGATAAGAGCGAACAGTATTATCTCGAATGTTGTTGTTGCGCACCCATTTTTCATCAATACCTATTGTTGATCCTCCAGTAAGCATTTTAGTTTTTCAGTGAAGTGCCCCCCCCCCCATCGAGGTTCGAAATCTGGGCGGCACCAACTTTTATGATTGGGCCCCGAACTATAACAACAACGGCGACCGGTTGCTACGACCTTACAATGTATTCCTAAGTCGCGCTCTCGCGTGGAACTTTCTCACACGTTATGCAGGAGTCGCGCTCTCGCGTGGGGCTTCTTTTCAGTGTATTCAGACGCCGCGCCCTCGACATTCAGGAATCACGCTCTCGCTTTGGCCTTTCTCACGAGTTACTTGGGAATCGCGCTATCGTTCGAGCCTGCCTCGCGCTCCATGCAGGACGCACGCTTCGGCAATCCGCCTGCTCGGCTTGGCCGCTTGGGCCCGTCTTCCCGACCCGCCTGTTAGGGTCTACCCGCCCGATCTGCCCGTTTGGTTCTGCCACGCGCTTTCTGCTCTCAGCCCCCCTCCATCGAATCCCGTGCTCCATCCTTCCCCTTCCATCCGTTAGTTCTTCCCTTGTTTCAGGGGCTGCGCCAATTACACGCGGCAGGTAAGGCAGGTATACCCCCAGGTGGATACGATCGAAGACGAAAAGGGCGGGCATCAAGGGTTTGGGATACACGTGTTGAACGGCACGCGAGCGCACACGAGCGAACAGTCTTGAGATGGTTGTTGTTGCTTCTGCTGTTGTTGCTATTGTTGCTGTGATGGCGTTGCTTGTTGTTGTTGCTGCTGTTGTTGTAGTTTGTTGTTGTTGCGTTGATTGTTGTTGCCGTGTCACCCTGCCCGCGACCCACCCGCGACCCTTCTCGCGACCCGTCCCACGACACACCCGCGATCCACCCACACGGCTTTAGCGTAATTGTAGTATTTGTAGCAAGTAAGCGCTTGCGGCGGGCTTCTTCAGAGCATGCAGGGTGCGACGTACAATTTCAGCCCTCCAGCAGGGCACAACTTCGGTGAGGCTCCGTGTGTCCGCTGACCAGGGGCCAGACTGGTCTGGAGCGTGCTGGTACAGGGTTATTGCAAAAACAAGTTGGTCGGAATTGCAGCTGGAGTCGTTGTAGTGCAGGAAACGTAGTGTCAGAGTCGTTTTCAAGAAACGCTTGCATTCTGGTCGTGTCGGAAAGCAAACCCTGCATGGAAAGAGCCGGATGATCATACAAACTGAGATGCGCACGGCGCTCACGCTTTGAGATGTCCGTCAGCCAGTTTGCAACAACGTTGCAATTTGGACGTTCAAGGGCATGAACAATTCAAAATAGATAATTGCCATGAGTTTATCGAGCAAGTCATAATCCGTAAGGGCTTCGCCCCCTGCCGCCGGCCCCCTCTCTCGGAGAATGGGCCATGGAAGAGCTAAGTCATGAGGCTTTGGCGCTGTCGTGCAGCAGTATCGGAACTTCATGCGAGGCCGATTCGCAATCGGCAAAACCAACTGATCACAAGAGGGGTTACCACACAGGGCGATTGGTAAGACGTGTATGGTTTACGAGCTTGGTTACCACACCTTGGGATTAAAGGGCCGAGGGAGTACTCGCAGTTTGGGTTACCACGCCTTGCGATGGATGTGCGTGAGGGGTGGCACCGAATTTCAGAAATGTGGCAAATCCCCTGTGTTTTTGGACCCTGACCCCGCGGATCTGCGTGAGGGGTGGCACCGAATTTCAGAAATGTGGCAAATCCCCTGTGTTTTTGGACCCTGACCCCGCGGATCTGCGTGAGGGGTGGCACCGAATTTCAGAAATGTGGCAAATCCCATGTGTTTTTGGACCCTGACCCCGCGGATCTGCGTGAGGGGTGGCACCGAATTTCAGAAATGTGGTAAATCCCATGTGTTTTTGGACCCTGACCCCGCGGATCTGCGTGAGGGGTGGCACCGAATTTGTGGCAAATCCCTTGTGTTTTTGGACCCTGACCCCGCGGATCTGCGTGAGGGGTGGCACCGAATTTCAGAAATGTGCAAATCCCGTGTGTTTTTGGACCCTGACCCCGCGGATCTGCGTGAGGGGTGGCACCGAATTTCAGAAATGTGGCAAATCCCTTGTGTTTTTGGACCCTGACCCCGCGGATCTGCGTGAGGGGTGGCACCGAATTTCAGAAATGTGGCAAATCCCATGTGTTTTTGGACCCTGACCCCGCGGATCTGCGTGAGGGGTGGCACCGAATTTCAGAAATGTGGCAAATCCCTTGTGTTTTTGGACCCTGACCCCGCGGATCTGCGTGAGGGGTGTCGATTTCGAGCCCCCCCAGCAATTCAGACAACGCGCCCAGGGGGTGCTAAAAATCCCGTTTGGGCCTCCCCCCCCTCGCGCGGTCAATCAACTAGTTACAGTAACCAGCAAGAAGCAGAACTGTAACACTGGAAACTACAAGCTACAACTGGTACTGGAAACTGCGAAACCGTGCCTCGCAGCCTGGTGGCCCCACAAGGGGGCCGGCGGATATATGTACCCAGTGTGGTTGAACATCACGTCAACGTCGCAACACAGAAGAAGTCGGAGGTGAGAGAACGACCGCAAGAAGCAAGAGGAGGACGAGGAGGAAGAGGAGGAGGTGGATGAGGAGGACGAGAAGGAAGAGTACATCACTCTGGAGCCAGGAGGAGAAGGAGGACGAGGAGGAAGAGGAGGAGGAGGAGGAGGAGAAGCAGGAGGAGGAGGACATCACCCTGAAGCCAAGAGGCGGCGCCACTGGGGCTGTCTCCAGAGCCCCGCGGCTGGCTCGGCTCTCCGGAAGGCCAGGGGCCGGAGAGGCAAAGCTTATGTTTTTTGTTGTCTTATTTGTTTCTTCTTCCTCCTCCTTCCTCCCTCTGCCTCTCTCTTCTGCTCCCCCCTCCTTTCTCCTCTCTCCTCCCTCCCTCCCCCTCCCTCCTTCATCCCAGTTCCTTATAGGTCAGTCCTCCCTGTCGCGCCACCAAACGTATCCAGGGCGAGCCGGGGTTTTCGCCTGAGACATCGTCACCGCTTAAGATCTTGAAGCGTAACATTACTAGCAACTTGACGGATTGACTACGTATCGTTTTGAACATGGGATTGCCGTTTTGGCGCCGCGAACACTCATCTCAAAGCATCCATCGCTTCCACGGGTGGAGGACCTGCCGTTTTCAGCAGTGGGCGATCGCCTTGCCGCCACGCGCGCTTGTCTTTCACAAATCCGACGTTCCGGCGGATGGCGGTCGAATCGTTTTCAAAACGAGGCTCTCACCCGGGCGCCGCTCACTCTCGTACTAAACAGATCCGTCATTCGCACGGATGGGCGACGAAGCGTTTGCACCGCGAGGTTCCTGCCTCGGCGCCGAGCACACTCGTCGCAAACAAACCCAGCATTGATACGGATGGGGGGCGGTGCGTTCTCAAAATTCAGCTCTTCATCTTGCCTTGGCGCCGCGCACGCTCGACTGAACAACAGAGGCTTCATGGCTGGGGGGCGCCGCATTTTCAAAATTAGAGTCTCGCTCGAGAATTGTTCTCTACCCCACGCACGACATTGCCTAGCCGCTAAACGATTGGAGGGTGGTTTCTTTTCAATCTTGTGATCTCGCTCCACACCTCGCTAGAATGTGTTTTCAAAATTATAGTCTCGCTCGAGACTTGTTTTCTACCCCACGCACAACATTGCCTTGCATCTAGACGATTGGAGCGTGGTTTCGTTTCAAATTTGTGATCTCGCTCCACACCTCGCCAGAACCTGGGGCAGTAAATTTTTATCATTGGGCAACAGCAGCACTGATGACTGGCAGTCGATTTTCGAAGATGGGTTGTCGCTGGGCCTTTCCTTGAGCTTTACGACACCACCTTGTCGCATTCGCTCCAGCTAGCAGAGGAGTCTCTTTCGAAACTGGGCTCCCGCCTCGTCCATGGGCGCTCGTCCCTTCAGGGAGGCGCCTCGCGCAGTGGAAGAGAACGCCGTCTGCAGGGGACTCCGGGCGGGAGGGTGCATTGCAGCATCGTTGGCGCACCCTGGGCTCACTCTGGCCCTCCTCCTCCTTCTCTGGATGCTCTTGCCCCTCACCGCTGATGCAGATCCTGATGGTTCCCCGCCTCCCGCCCCCCCCCCCTCCCGCTCCTCCTCCGCCCGCGTCCTCCTGCCTGGACGGGCTTCGCCCCAGGGGAGGGTCGGCTCGGCGCCCGCAGCGCTGGGCCGGAGGCGCCTCTTTCCCTCCCCCCGCGGCGGGTCTGGCGCGAGGGGCTCTCGAAGGCAGCGGCGCCAGGGCCCGCCGCGGGAGCGGGCGTTGGCGCTGGTCCGAGAGGGGGGGGCGGGCGAGAGGAGGATCGGGTCGGGGGCAACCGGGGGGGGGGGGGGAGGACTGCGTATGGGGTGTGTGCGTGTGTGTGTGTGTGTGTGTGTGTGTGTGTGTGAGTCAGTGTGTGTGAGTGTGATTAAGTGTGCGTAAGTTTGTGTGTGTTGTCTGCGTGTGTGTATGTGTGTATGGGAGTGGAAGTGCGTAAGAGTGTAAGTGTATGCGTGTGTGTGTGTCTGTGTGTGTATGTGTGTGTGTGTGTGTGTGTGTGTGTGTGTGTGTGTGTGTGTGTGTGTGTGTGTGTGTGTGTGTGTGTGTGTGTGTGTGTGTGTGTGTGGGGGTACGCTCGGGGACTTCTGCTCAGCGCGTCGCGCCGCCAAGTCTGGCCCTACCACGCTTCGGCGCGACACGCTGACCGCGTCCTGGCCCCCGGGCGTCAACGTCCAGAATCTTTCTCAGCCTGCCGCCCCGCGTCGCGGAGCAACGCTCGATCCGCTTGCAGGGCATAGCGTGTCGCTAGGGCCTCCGCCGCAACACGCCATGCAAAAGCTCCCGACCGTAACATGGCTGGGGCCATGAATTCTCCCAGATGTCGTGCCGATTTTTTCATCTGATTCTTCCACTTCTTTCCCCAAGCAGTGCTTGCACTTAGGGGTTCTTACTTGTCGTCGAAGGAACTGGGCGGGTGGTCGGTCTGGCGGCTATGTAGTCGCCGTCGCCGCCCCGTCGCCGCTTCGTCGCCGCTCGCCATCCTGGCCTGGGGGTCGGTCTCGCGGCGATGTCGTGGCCGTCGCCCCTTCGCCGCCCCGTCACCGCCTCGTCGCTGCCCGCTGTCTGGGCTTGGGGGTCGGTCTGGCGGCTCCGTAGTCTCCGTCGCCGCCACGCCCCCGCGTCGCCGCCGCCTCAGGGACGGCACTTCGTAGATTCCAGAAACCTCTGGAAAGAAGTTCGGATATCCGCTCCTTTGGCTTTATCGACCCCCTTTGGGACAGTACGATTTACATGAATTTGATCCTGCCCAACCGTTCACTCCACATAGAAATTCATACCATCCAAGGCAGGCCGTTATCGACCTACCTCTATCAAACATGCTCATGCGCGCGCAATGGCATGTCGAACATCATAGACTGCCAAAAACCTTGTGCGAATCATGTGATGTAATAGGCACGCCCAGATCGTCGCGCGCGAAGGCAGGTTATTTACCAAAACCGTGGATTTCTTACGGATACCAAGGTTTGTGCTAAATAACAAACGCATTGGTTGGCAACAGGTTTGTAAAACATGCGAGCGCGCCCTTTCAAATTCTTATTGAAATGGCCAAAGCAGGCCAGACGGGCCTCGAATGCGCGAGTGCCAATCATTCGGACGCCTTTGCGCGCGTGTTGGGGTGGTTGTGGTGGGGGTGCACGATCCCTGTCTGTCAACACATACCACGCGGGCCACTTGCGCGCGCTGGCCGCGCGCGCATGCCGAAATCTTTCCAACACTTTCATCGCCGATGCGTGAACGTCATTATCGTCATCGGCGTGATCGGCATGGGCGCTGTCAGTGGCCCTGCCGCCGTCCTCGTCACCATCGTTCCCAGCATCGTTACTGTCATCATCGTGTCCACATTTTTCGACGTCGCCATGGCACCGCGCCCGCCGCAGTCACCGACCCGAATTGAAGCGCCCGCGCGCCAGCGAGGCATGCGAGACGCGTTGGGAAGTCCCCAGCGGTCAGCGGCACCGCAGCCGCGTTGGTCGCGCCAGACCAGCTGGCAGCTGTGCGCTCGGCCTGCAGAAAGCTGACCAGCTTGCGCGCACTTGCGCGGCCGCGGCGATGCGCCAGCCATCGCCAGCCAGTCACCGCAATTGCATTGGTTTTGCAATCCAAGTTGTGGGCGTCGCATGGTTTTCAAAACTGAGAGTCGCGAAAATATATAAATCACAAGTGAGTTGGCAACGCGGATTTTCCGGGCGCGTGCCGAAATTGTTCAACAACTTGGGGTTTCGTACGGATTTCAAAAACGAGTGTCCCGAAAACAAATCAAAACATAGGGTTTGGCAATCAGGTTTCAAACAAAAAACGTGCGCCCGCGGGCTTGCGGATCCTTGAGGAAACCATCGTTTGTATGTTTGTGTGTGTATACATATATATATATATATATACATGGGTATATATATATATATACATATATATACATATATATATACACTTATAAATATACATATGTCTCTTTTCTATATATATATAGATATAATCTGCAAGAGCGTGTTCTGCCGCTGCTGGCGGAAAGCCGGGGGGTCACTAGGGGTTCCCAACCCGTCCACCTCCCCCTTTCGAAAACCGGGGGGGGTCACTACCGGTTGGAGCCCTCCCCCCCAGTCCATCATGAAAAGGGGGGAGGGGGGGGGGGGGTCACTACCGGTTCGAGCCCGCCCCCCTCGAAAACCAGGAGGGGGGTCACTACCGGTTCGACCCCCCCCCCTTCGCCGCCAGCGAACGATTCACGCTTCTCGGGACAGTTGGACAATGATGGATGCTGGGACAGTGGTGGGAACGGTGGTGGTGGGGACGGTGTGCAGGGACAGTGGGACAGTGGTGCGGACAGTGGTGGGGACGGTGGTGGTGGGGACACTGGCGAGGGGACAGCGGGACAGTGGTGGGGACAGTGGGGCAGTGGTGGGGGCGGTAATGGTGGGGACAGTGGTGAAGGCGGTGGTGAGGACAGTGGTGGGACAGTAGTACAGTTGGGAAAGTGGTGGGGACAGTGGTGACATTGGGACAGTGATAGGGACAGTGGGGACGGTGGGACAGCACAGTGGGACAGCGGCGGGGACAGTGGGACAGTGGTGGGTACAGTGGGGACAGTGGGACAGTGGTCGGAGCCGTGGGGAAAGTGGGGAGAATGGGACCGTGGTGGCACAATGGTGGGGAGTGTGGGGACACGGCGACACTGGTGGGGGCACTGGCGGGGACAGCGGGGACAATGGTGGGAAAAATGGGGACAGTGGGACGGTGGTGGGGACGATGGTGGTGGGGACAGTGGTGTGGGGACAGTGTGAACGTGGTGGAAACAGTGGGACAGTGGAGGGTACAGTGGTGGTGGGGACAGTGGTGAGGGCGGTGGCGAGGACAGCGGTGGGACAATGGGACAGAGGTACAGTGGGGACAGTGGTGGGGACAGTGGTGGGGACAGTGGGGACAGTGGTGGGAACAGTGGGACAGCTCAGTGGGGCAGCGGCGGGGACAGTGGGGACAGTGGGGCTGTCATTGGGACAGTGGTTGGGGCCGTGGAGAAAGTGGGGAGAGTGGAACCGTGGTGGGAACAGTGGTGGGGAGTGTGGGGACAGTGCGACAGTGGTAGGGGCACTGGTGGGGACAGTGGGGACGGTGGTGGGAACAGTGGGGACAGTGGTGGTGAGGACAGTGGTGCTGGGGACAGCAGTGGGGGATGTGGTGCGGACGGTGGTGTGGACCCGGGAGTCGTTTGCTGGCGGTGAGCGCGATGGGGGGGAGGAGGGGTTCGAACCGGTAGTGAGTAGTGATCCCTTTTGTTTTCTGGAGGGGGGTGGGGTGGGGGGTTCGAAGCCGATAGTGACCCCCCGCCGGTTTTCGGGAGGGGAGGGGGGGGGTCCGAACCGGTAGTGCCCCCTTGGTTTCTGGGGGGGGGGGGGCGGTTCGAATCGGTAGCGCACTTCCCCGGTTTTTTGGAGGGGGGGGGGGGGGGAGTTGGTTCGGACCAGTATGACCCCCCCCCGGTTTCGGTTTCGAACCGGTAGTGACTTTTTTGGACTGGGGGGGGGGGGAGGGGGGGTCGAACCGGTAGTGACCCCCCCCGGTTTTCCGAGGGGGGGGGGTGGGTGTTTTCCCCGGGGGGGGGGGTTTGCCGGGGGGTTGCCTGGGGGGGGGGGGTGTGGGGTCCAGCAGGGGAGGGGATTTTCGGAGGGGTGGCGGGGGGAGACCCCCATGGCTCCGTAGGAAGAGGGGGGGAATTTTCCCACAGTAATGCGGCGGTGGATCACGCTCTCTCTTTCATATATATATATATAATATATATATATATACATGATTCTATATATACATATAGAGATATGAACATACATATAATATATTTGAATACATATATATATATATATACATATTCTCATACGCACCTCTCCGAGGGAGTAGAGCTCAGAGGCGATTAATGCGCACGCGTCCGCGATTTTTCTGGGCGTTTCGCTCGGGACATCCTCGAAATTCTGAAAATCGGTGACACCCCTCACGCAGATCGTGACGTTAGGGTCCAAAAACACATGGGAATTTCAACATTTTAACATAAAGCCTTCAAAAACAAATTGTAATTTCAATAATTGTGACCCCGATTCTCAGGGAATGGCGGTTTCGCTTGAAAAATCCTTCCAAAATCGAGCCCCAGGCCCCGCCTCGGAGCCTCCTGGGGGCCTCCTGGAACCTCCTGGGGCCTCCTGGGGCTTTCTGAACCTTCTGGCACCCCAGACCCCGCCTCGGAGCCTCCTGGGGGTGTCCTGAAACCTCCTGGGGCCTCCTGGGGCCTCCTGCGGCCTCTTGGGGCCTCCTGAAGCCTCCTGGGGTCTCCTGGGGCCTCCTGGGGCCTCCTGAGGCCGCCTGGGGCCTTCTGGGGCCTCCTGGGGCTTCAGAACTACATGCACACAGATACACAAATCACGCCCAACACATCACAGGCTAGACAAACATAACACACACACACAACACCTACAACACACAAAAAGCACGCACCACACAAAGCATACACCACACACACACACACGCACAACACTCACAATCCTGGGGCCTCCTGGAGCCTCTTCTGGTATCCAAGTCGGGCCTCCTGAGGCTTCCTGGGGGGCCCTGGTACACACATCGCAAGGTGTGGCAAGCCCACTTGCGCTCGAGTGCGACTTCGATGTTGCATTTCACTCCTGCTTCAAACGCCCCTTCAGTTTTTTGTATGAGCCTGGGCACACACGTGCCACTTGTGTATATATATATATACGTATGTATATCTCTGT